TTACTCCCCTGTGCCTCATGGTGCAGCAGGCCCAGCCCACCGCAGAGATGACCTGAACACCCCCCATCATTACCTGCCCTTGATGTTGTCCAGCTGGCTGCGGAGTGATGCTTTGTGCTGCTCCAGAACATCTTTCAATGGAACGGTGCAGTGCTCCCGGTGTTCCCCCTCCGTGCACTCCGCGCACATGGCGGTCTCGCAGGGTCCGCAGTAATACTCCATGGTCTGCGGGAAGACGGGGGACAGACTTAACGGCTGGAGGAGGAAGAGAAGACAACTCATCTATAGGAGATCTGTAGAGGGCGCTGCACCTACCTTGCCCTGATGGTTGGGGCAAGACAGCGAAGTACCGGAGGGGTGTCCCTCCCCCGGCAACACGCTCTGCTCCTGGCGGCCGCTCTCCGGGCTCCGCTGCAGAACCTCCATGAGGTTGGTGATGAAGAAGTTGTTCTGCAAGGCGGACACCCCACGCTCCGGAAGGATGGAAGTCTGGCGGCATACTGGGCAGGAAAGGGTGAGGCTTTGCGGCGGGATGTAGCTCTGCAGGCACCTGCGGAAACATGGCGGACACTGAGAATTACACCCAGCAGTACTGTGCATAGAGGACAAGAGAAGCGATACTGTGTATAGAGGACAAGAGAAGCGATACTGTGCATAGAGGACAAGAGAAGAGATACTGTGCATAGAGGACAAGAGAAGCGATACTGTGCATAGAGGACAAGAGAAGCGATACTGTGCATAGAGGACAAGAGAAGCGATACTGTGCATAGAGGACAAGAGAAGCGATACTGTGCATAGAGGACAAGAGAAGCGATACTGTGCATAGAGGACAAGAGAAGTGATACTGTGCATAGAGGACAAGAGAAGTGATACTGTGCATAGAGGACAAGAGAAGTGATACTGTGCATAGAGGACAAGAGAAGTGATACTGTGCATAGAGGACAAGAGAAGTGATACGGTGCATAGAGTACAAGAGAAGAGATACTGTGCAGAGCCCATACATACAGAATAGGAACAGATACCGAGAATGACACCCGACATACAGGACATGGGAAGTGGTACTGTGCAGAGTCCATACATACAGAATAAGATCAGAGATGGGAGGTCTGGAGATGGTCCTCCTGTGTCATTATCTATAAATGTCCCTCATTGTCTGCACTTCCCTTACTGACTTCCTGTGTTCGGGGGAAGTGCGCTCTCCTTCTCCCTCCTCAATCAGAGAGTTCCTCATGTTAGGAGAGATGACAGAACTCCAGCCGTGACCTGTATGTGGCAGCTGATCTCTAGCCTCCCATCATACATACATACATACACACACGTGTGCTGCAGCATTATACATGTACAGAATCCGCACTGACAGGCCTCTTAGCCCCCCTGCAGAGCCCCACAAATACCGATCTGTTGAGCTGCCGGTCAAGTCCACCTAAAGCAGCTTCCTGTGGTGAAGTGACAACGATGCTGCACTGCTCCTGAATTCAGAGCAGAGTTTTCACCCCCATGTAGGCTGTGCAGACGGAGGAGAAGACATTGCAGGGGGCGTGGCCATCAGTATTGTCACCGCTGATTCATAGGCCTGTAGCTTGTCCGTCAACACCTGGCTAAGCCTAGTCCCGCCCACTGCAGACACACTGAGGGAGGTGAGCAGAGACCGCAGACACGCTGCCGGAGGTGAGCAGAGACCGCAGACACGGTGCCGGAGGTGAGCAGAGTCCGCAGACACACTGAGGGAGGTGAGCAGAGACCGCAGACACGCTGCCGGAGGTGAGCAGAGACCGCAGACACGGTGCCGGAGGTGAGCAGAGTCCGCAGACACGCTGCCGGAGGTGAGCAGAGACCGCAGACACGCTGCCGGAGGTGAGCAGAGACCGCAGACACGCTGCCGGAGGTGAGCAGAGACCGCAGACACGCTGCCGGAGGTGAGCAGAGACCGCAGACACGCTGCCGGAGGTGAGCAGAGACCGCAGACACGCTGCCGGAGGTGAGCAGAGACCGCAGACACGCTGCCGGAGGTGAGCAGAGACCGCAGACACGCTGCCGGAGGTGAGCAGAGACCGCAGACACGCTGCCGGAGGTGAGCAGAGACCGCAGACACGCTGCCGGAGGTGAGCAGAGACCGCAGACACGCTGCCGGAGGTGAGCAGAGACCGCAGACACGCTGCCGGAGGTGAGCAGAG